GCTGCGACCAGCGGCGCGGTGCCCACCTCGGGCGGGGCCCCACCACTGCCCCCGCGCCCGACCGACACCGGCCGTGTGCCGGCCCCGCCGCCGCCTTCACTCCACCGCCCGGGCGGTGGCCCTGCTGCGGCGGCCAGTGCCAGTGCCAGCACCAGCGCCACCAGCCTGGCGGGCCCGCCGGCTCTGTCGGTTTCCGCGTCGCAGGCCCTCGCTCGCGACCGACGCCTCCTGGAGCAGCGCATGGCCCAGCTCTTCGACCCGCTGGGCGTCACCTGGCTCATCTTCTCCGACGGAAACGACCTGCGCCAGCACCCGGCTGTGGCTGCCTACCTGCCGAGGGGGGACGACTGCTCGGGTCCGGCCGAACGGCCGAACACCAGCGATCCCTCTCCGCCCTCCTCCCTACCCTCCTAGACACACGGTGACCAGCCTTCCCTTGTTCCTGCCTCGCCGTCCCCCACCCCCCCCCCCTTCCCTTCTCTTCTCCTCCTTCTCCTCCTCCCATATTCCCCGGAGAGGGGGCGGGGAGCGAAGAAATACATTCTTTTTAGACGTGCACGCGCCTCCCCGTGCCTGCGCCGGCTGCGCCGCGGCCCTGGGCAGCAGGAGAGAAAAGGGGCCAGGCCTGTCCGAGCACCCCCGCCCCCTACATATACACACCCACACACCCACACACACACACACACATCGGCCCCGGCGGGAGAGCGCGCGCGTCTGTGTGGGTGGGTGTCCACTTGATCGTCGGCACTTTGGGCAAACTGCCCACTCGCTCCAGTGGTCGGTATTCTTCTGTGGGCATGTGACTAGGTGCGGAATTCGGCTATCGCCACGAAATACCTCGGGCATTCTTCCTTTCCCGGAATGCCTGGCTCCGTGGCTGGCTCGGCCTGCTTTTCGGCCCTCCACCAACGGGCGTCTGGCCAGCTTGCCGGTCCCTTGTCCTTGTTCCGCCGGGGGGGGGGCCCGGCTTCCGAGCGGGCTTGGACAAGGGCGGCCACAAAGCGGGCATTGGAATGTGGCCGTCCGACGCCCGTCCCCCCCCCCCCCCTTCAGAGGTGGGAGGCCGGCGCATGGGGGGGGTGGGTGGGGCGGAGGGGGCCTTTCCTTCAGCTCGCCCGCGTCTCTGTTTGGTCCGGGAGCGGCTTGGTTGCCTCGAGGCCCTCCCTGGGCATATATGTGTTGGCGAATTCCGGCCAGCCGGCGTCGGCCGTGACGCCAGGCGTGCGCTGCCGCCTCCGGGCAATCCAGACCGAGCATGTGTCCGCACATCCTGCCAGGTATCCCGGAATCGAATATCGCCGACCGTCAAACACATTCTCCCTCGGGGGATGCGCATGCCGCGCACCCTGGCTGGGGGCTGGCTGTGGACAGGCCTTCGCTGGGCACCTCGCCCCAGGAGCTCTGCCCCATGGAGCCGGACCGAGGCGGCAGCTTGCCCTCTGGCTGGCGAGGGGGCGTGCGCGCGCGCCGGCACGCGTCACGCGCAGGCACCAGCAGCGCTCCGGGCTGGAGGGTGGGGGGGGGGGGGAGCAAGCCGGGAGACATGGGATTAATCAGCTCTGCTGGGGATGCAGGCCGGTGGCCGCTGTACCTGAACCTTCCCCCCCTCGCTCGCCTTTCGCCGAGGTGGTGTCTGTGGGCGGGGGAGGGGGGGAATGTCCGTATCCCCAC